TCACGACCGTGTCCAACTTGGCGTCTCCTTTTTCAGGCATGCTCACGCGGTACATCAACTCGTACTTCAGGGTGACCCAGAACGACTTGCGCGAGGACTCGATCGAAGTGCGGTGGGACGTCACGTACACGTACTTCATTTCGTACGGGTGCCGCCTCTTCGCGTTGGTGTGGCTCTTCATGCTGCCTCCGCAGCGCGGCCCCATGCAAGAGTTGAAGAAGAAGGGCGGCAGGAGCAAGTTGGCCGGGGCCATCTTGATCGTTGTGTTTGTCGTGTGCCTCTCGGTGTCTGTCACGTCCAGCATCATGGCCATCTACCCCGCCACGAGATGCTTGCGCATTGCAGGTGGCAACGGGAAGCTCGACCCCAAGACGGGCAAGTGTCCCATCGCGGCCAGCCGAAAGGGATAGATAGTTTCCAGTGTGTTAAATATGTTATATATATACAGAGCGTTGTCGTGAATGGAACTCGGCTTGTCTAAGATGCACGAGTGCAATCAACATTCTACTAGCTTTACAGACGCTGTGGGGACGTCGACGGTTGGCGGCTTCGTCCTGGCCAGTGTCCGCTGGTATTCACCTGTCTAGTCAGTCCTGCAAATTTGTGGTCAGGGTCGTTTGTATGAACCACTGCTTCAACTCCGGAAATAGTTCGCCAATCAATCTCCATTCAACTCGAAACCATCACCTTTCCCTTCAACAAGCAATCAACCTGTAGTGGCCACACGATCCTGCTTTTTTTACTTGTCACGTCTTTAGAACTCTGGTGGGCATTGTGGTAGTGACGTTTTGATTATTAAGGAGCGGTCAAAATAATGCTGTCGTGGCTAAATAACGACAGCAACAGGTATGCGTCGGCACCCCAGGCTGTGTGCTGCGACGTGTACGCTCGATGGGTGGCGGCATGCCTGTGGATCGCTCGGACTTGGAACCCCCAGTTCACCACCGACACATTGCACGCGTAGAGCGCCGCCACGAATCGCGTGTCCGTGCGCAAGTAGCCCAAGTAAAAGTCCACCTGCGGCAACAGGGCCCGCGGCAGACCGGCGGGGAACACTGCCCACGCGTCGTGCGAGTCGATGCGGGGGTGAAACATCACCTCGTTCAACACTTCGTTGTATTGCCACCTCGTGAGTGCCACAACCTTGTCACATAGTACATACATCCCTCAACCTCCATGGTAATCCATACCATACATCATCTAACTAGTTATTAATGATTATTGTACGTACTTGATTCCGTGGCAGCCGCGGCCCGTCGACCAACACACGTAGCGACGAATCAAAGTGGATGTCGGCATTTGCGATGACCCACTGAGCATGCGGACGAGTCTTGTTGGCGTACTCCAACGCTGCGCGCATGGTCAATCGATCAGGCACGACCGTGACGTGAAGCTTGGAGCCCCCATGACCGTTGACGAAGGGAGTCAAGTCTCCGGGGGCGCCTTCCACTAGCACATGCACTTGGGCAATGTGGTCGTTGGCCAAGTTGGATCGCAAACACGTGTCCAGTTCGAGTTGGCGACTTGCGTCTGCCGTGCGGTAGTACTGTACCGCCAAGTATACCAGCGAGAGGATGGTTATGTTTTGGCTCGTCCGCTGGATCGTTGGATCTTGAGGGGGGGTTAGCCTTGTGAAGTGGTGTGCATGCCGCTCGTTGTCTTTGTTGATCATTGAAGAACAACTGGTTGTAATCGCTTGATACACTTGTTCGGGGCGGGGCATCGCCGCCTACTTGACCCATGCGTTTCCATTGCAATCGACACCAACTAGTCATCAATAGATGTACGTCAATGAAGATACCGTTGCTTGGAGCGCCAACCCAAACACGTTCCAGGACCTGTCGTAGGCCAGCTGGGTGCGTCGGACGACTTGTTCAAAGCTGGTATTGAGGCGAAAATGCACGTCGAATTCATTGGTGAGGACGGATTGCACGCAGTTGAATCGCATGTGCGCTGGATAGGCTACGAGCATCGCAGCCACCAATGTGCCGAGGGGCTGTAGCACCTGGCGAGACAGGCTGCGGTCGTTGTCTTCTAGCTCTGCCATGTCACTGGCCGTCCAGTGCAAGACCTCTGTCAAACCAAACAGCAAAGTGTACATGCGAACGACGTGGTCGTAACGCTTCATGGCCATCAGTGTGTTGCCCATGTTGTAGCGAACATGCGCATCCGTGGAATCCACTGCCATGGCGCGGCCATAATAACTCAACGCAACGTCGTTCTGACCTTGCTCTTGAGCCAACGTCTACAAAAGGCCATGGACATCATAAACGAGGACGATTCCTCGCTCAAAGTTGTGACAAGGTAAACTTACGGCAATGTTATTGAGGGCTTGGGTGTATCTTGGGTGCAATGTCAACGCTCGTTGGAACGACTGGATGGCGTCGCCCACAAGGCCCAACTACACGAGATCGTCGAGTAGTCATTCGAGGCGATTTGTCGGTGCAACGTCTTTTGAACGTGTGATAGTTCACTTTGCATTGTTGTCGTACTTGAAATTGCACCGCACCGAGGTCGTTGAGGACAAACGGATTGTGCGGCTGGAACAAGACCAACATGGTCAGTTTGGCAAGCGCAATGTGGCGACGGCCGCGCCCGTGTGCGTCCGCAGCTTGCAGCGCCAGGGCGTCCAAGTCGTCCGGTGTGGGGATCTCTGGAAGCAGTCGATGATCCAACCGAGCGCCGCTGTGCAGGTAGATGACTGAAGGCTCGTAGGAGTTGGTCATGGAGTGCCACATGGCATGGCAGTTTGACAGTGCGATCGAGTGTGATGGATCCAGAGATAACACTTGCATGTAATACTCGAACGCCCGTGCGTAGTGCTTTCGCGCCTACATATATATTCGTGGTTTGGTGATTGTGAATGCTTTCAATGCTTACATGCATCATGGCACCAAGGTTGAGCAAAACTGGCACGCAGCCGCGTTCCATCGACGCAGCCACCAAGTGATCTTCGAGGCATCCTAACATCATGGCGCTGCGGGAATTCGTCGTACGTAGCAACTAATGAAGGACATTTGGCAAGCGTGACGTGATCGATCGTATAATTACCTGTTGAATATTGTCGTCTTGGTGAAGTGGTCGCGACCACGGGAACGCTACGGGCGGCACGAAAGCGACATCAGCTATTGCGTCGTGGACTCGAGGACATCCAGCAGCTACAAGGCGTGATCGTTAACTTGAACAATCCATACACCAAGTCGCGTACTGGAAGAGAGTGCTCTAGCACCGTTGTGCCACCGATTGAATTGGAGTATGGATGCAAGGGAGTCGCAGGCTTTGCCACGCAAGCCGAGGTCAATGTAAACTTGAGCGAGGACGTACCATCGACCGAGGCAGTGCTGATGTGGCGCAGCCTGCTGGTGATCTTCGCACGACGTCATATTCAGCAAGGACTCATACGCAGACCACAATCGTCCCGAGGAATGCTTGACTTGTGCAGACATCACAGTCGCAGTCCCCGATTCGACTGCTTGAGTCAAGGACCGTTGGCTGTCCTCGAACTCGCCGCGATGATACTTCGACAGGCCGTGCAGCAGAGCTGCCGAATGAAGGTCAAATGAGCCTGCAGATGGACACCATTCCAACGCGGCACATCCCGTCGTCCACCTACTCAACGCCGCCACCCCCACGAGTTGTTGAAGCGATCGCATTCGGCTGACGTTGCGATCTTGGACATCCTGTGACAATCGATACGGTTACTATATTAATACATGAAGGCGTATGCTAGTACTTCAAGGACCTACTACTAGTAGCTCGAAAAATGTTTACATAAATACTGCAGGGGGTCTCCGATTTAAAGGGGGTCTGATTTAATATCTACTCCGAGTATGTAGTAGTAGAAATCTACTAGTAGTATCTACTAGTATGCTGTGATTGAGGTGGCGTCGAACGATCGTAGGTTGACCGTATAGGGTACATGCGGTCGGGGTCGTATTGCGGCGGCGGCTGTCTGTATTCGATGTCGTCGTAATGGAATTGGTCGCGGTGAGCAGGAGGAGGGAGAGGTGGCGGTTGGTGGTAGTGGTGACCCAAGCGCACTTCAAAGGTGGACATGGGTGGCCGCATGCGGCGATCCGAGCAGCTCGAGTGCTCTGACGACGGTGCAAACGAGAACGTTTGGTCTTGGCTGTAGATCGTGTCGGGTCTATTATGCGTTGACGGGTACGACGTGGTAAGATTTGGCACCGTCGTTGTCGCTTCCTCAATGTCCACTTCTTTCGAACTCGCATAGTTCTTTCGTTTTTGCAGGTTGACCACTAGGGCGGCAACCGCGATGAGAACGAGGGTAGCCACGCAGCCCAGCACTGCATATAGCGTGTTTTTGTTGTTCGTAGATGCCACAGGTACCGATTCCGATGGAGGCGGCGGCGGTGCGACATCCTTCACTACGATCTTCTTGTACACGACAAAGTCGTACCGAATGGACGGGGCTTCTCCTGGCAACACCACATGCGCCAGAAGCGAGTACTGTCCAGGCTTGGAGAAGCGTAGGTCGGGCTCTTCAAACTGTGCCTTCCCGGTCGTAAAGTTCATTTCTTGATTGGGCGTGTTGTCGGTGGGATTTTCACCGCGATCGAAGGGAGTGCACGGACGTGGCCCAAACTCGCATGCGTGGAGATTCGAGTGCGGAATCTGTACATACTGCGAGATAGGCGTCACAATCGTGTAGAATCGTGTGAGATTGAACGCGTTGGCCGAAGATGTGACGTCGGACGCCACCGCCGTCCACTTGACGCGCAGGGCCTCGAGCACCCCCACGACAAGTTCCCCGTCCTTAGTGACCATCGTTCCCGTGGTTTCCAATCGCAATTGGACCGGACAACCGCGGCCATGGGACTCGACCAGCTTCATGGTCTCGTTCAAGTCCTTGGCAAGGGGATTGCCTTTGCTTTTCCAACAGTACGTGGTGAACCCATCGTGTTCCGGCTGCGAGTCCAAGCCTGCGACCATGGCAGCGGGGACGAGCATAAGCAGCATCCTCGCTACGGTTGCTAGACGCATGTGATGTGATTGTTGAGTGGTGTGTGTGCAAGGAAGGCAATTGCCGAATGAACCGACTTGTTTGAGCTTCAACGGAGAATATACTCCCAATACACACAACGTCGTCGCTGAAAATGTATGCGACGTGGTGTGTCACCAACCGAACAATTTTGATTTCTAAAATGAAACTGATTTCTAAAATGAAACGGTTAGCTCTGCACAACACCGTTGCAAACACCCCATACAGTCGGGACATGGCAGCATGAGCGCGCCAAGATGCACACGTTTACTACAGCCAATGCTGCCAGGGTGCAAGTGTACTCATGGTGGCCAAGGCACAAGGAGCTGGCACGGTGCTGAAGTATGTATGCATTTACTAACTCTTCTGCTCCAAGCCGGGGATCTATCATCTCGTTCAGAGATGATGCATTGAAGTACCTAGCATGTCCACTTTAGAATAAATAGCTCACCATTTAGTACTTGGTTGTTTATGAAGCATGAGTCTTGGAAGAGTACTTAATCGAAGGGTTTTGCTTGGCAATATCCGGATACGAATGACGCGTTTCAAACCGGATTATCCGGATAGCTTGAACGATGGCGCGCACGGTGGCGCTGGTGTTCTCGAGTGAGTATGCGGCGGCACTGTCGTCGCTTCCGGTACACCCGAATCGGGACTGCATGACGTTCTCGTTGCTGCAGCATACAGGCATCCTGTCGCATCTGCATGTCATCGCGCCTGATGTGGCATCGCAGTCCGACCTCGAACGCTTCCATACCGCGGGGTATGTCGTGGCACTACAAGGCGAAACGTCGTCCACCGCTGCAGTCATGCTCGAGTATGGCCTCGTGGATGACGCGTATACGTTTCCTGGCCTGTTTGCATATTGCACGTTCGTTGCTGGCGCGTCGCTTACAGCGGCAAAGTTGCTCGTGTCCAAGACTGTGGACATTTCAATCAACTGGGGCGGGGGCCGACATCATGCCAAGAAAGACCACGCGAGCGGCTTTTGCTACGTGAACGATGTGGTGCTGGCAGTGGACTACTTGCTGCAGCACGTTCCATCGTCTAAAGTGCTGGTCATCGACATCGATGTCCATCACGGCGACGGCGTCGAGGAAGCGTTCTACTTCTCGTCCCAAGTGTTCACGTTATCATTCCACAAGCTAGCCCGCGGGTTCTTTCCTGGGACAGGGTCGACTGCATCTATCGGTCGAGGGGCCGGTCGACACCGGAATCTGAATGTGCCGTTGGACGACGGCATCACCGACGACCAGTTTCTCGAAGTGTTTGAGCTCGTGGTGCAGGCGGTTGCGGAGGCCTTCGAGCCCTCGCATGTCGTCATGACGTGCGGCGTGGACACCCTTTCCACGTACGTGGCTGGCTTAGTCTGCTCATCCATACGCATGTATGAACATGTGAAGCAGAGACCCCCTGGGAACATTTAACTTAACGGCCACGGGCTTGTGCTGGTGCTTGGAAGTGGTCAAGGAGATGGAGCTTCCGTTGCTGGTCTTAGGCGGAGGAGGGTACAACGAAGCCGACGCGGCGCGCTGTTTTGCCGCCCTCACGGCCACTGCAGTGGATCAACCGTTGCCACAGGACGTGCCCGACCACGACTACTTTCCCAAGTGAGTTGTCTTTGATTAGTTCAGGGGCGAGTGTCATGATATAAACTTGACGCAGGTATGGCCCACATTTCGAAATGCGCACCACGAGCGTGAAATCCCGACTGAACAAGAACACGGTGGCATCGCTCGAAGCCACGTGCCAGCATGCCTTGGACCACATCAGTCACTTGGCAACCACTGGATGATGTTGATGGAAAATCGATCGACGACTTCTGGTCCACGCATGACAACACCAGGTACATAACACTCACGTGTGTGATTCCAGTGCAGTATATTCATATACAGGAGCTGGTATTGTCGATTTGATACAAAATGGGGAGGGGGTGCAATCGAATCGCGCCAACTAAACCGATCCACAATCTATCTGATTGGTTGAATTTAATTGAGAAATGGGTTTTGATTGGTTAATAATTTTGAGCTCATCTGAAGTAGCCAATCAAGTCGATTTAAATTCCAAGGAGAAACCACTCGAAAGCACAATATTACAGCTTTATATTCTATCAATACTACCAGTACTACCGTAGTCTATTTGCGCACACATCAAACATATATTATTATTACAAAACGTTATGATTTTCCGGATAGAGTCTACAGACCAGTCGCCCCATCAACCATGTCGCGAACATGGATACATCTATGTCTTGGATGTTCACCAACGGACCACACAAACGTCCCCGTGAAGCTACCGGTAAAGGCGCAAACGAGCTTTGGTTACTAGTGTCCAATATAGAAGGAAAACTCCATGCTTTTTACTTTGAAGTATAAGTGTAAATTGCTGTTCAAAGTCGAGATTACGGGAACATGCGATTGTAATTTAATTGCAGCACTAATTCGTGCAAGTGCGATGCCGACCCAGCTGTGGCCATGGACTGCAGCGCAATCATAACATATCCGTGTGCGCGCTTGAACTTGGACGCGGCGGCAGCCAGCCCACTGGCGGCAATGGCTTCGTCCACATTTCCTACCCATTCATTTCAAGCATAACCATGAGACTGGTAGGTACTACAGTACCCTGCAAGAGCTGCTCCGACAAGATATCTTCAAAGCACGCCATGTAAACCACGATGTGATGCACCAGTTGCATCAAGTATTCGTGCACGGATGCATGCTACAACCACACGATCAAACACGTCTCGCTTAACATAGGGCAATATGTACCCTTTCGACCAGAAAGCAGCGCTCCAGCATGTGAGCAATGGACTGTTCCATGGCGTCGTTCATCTACGAATCCATTGAGATTATTTGAAGGGGGCTTTGGATGGACATACCTCCGACACCAAAGTCGCTTGCTCCATGGCATCCACAACACTGTCCCACATGTCCGACCCCGTCTAGTCAAGCACACAATGATACCTCATTACTACCTACTACTAGTACATACTACTACCAAGTAGTCGAATCGTGGGCGAAATGGACATACCTGCTGTCGAAAGTACATGTGGATTTGCTTGACAAAATGAAGCATCGCTGCCACCTCCACCAAGTGACCATGCATCGCTGGCACACTGCGACAGCGATACATTCAAGATCACGAGCATATCCCATATAATGTTGTACGTACTTTGGAAGCTTGCGCATGATGGTTTGCTTGATCTACACACAGATATTACATGTGTTGGTGTGAATTATACAAATATATAAATATCTTTTTGTACCGAGACGAGTGTTCGTTCGACACCTTGAACCTACGCACACATATATATATATATATAATCAAATAAATATACGATCGATCCAAGGGTATATATAGTGTACTTGAAGCAACAAGATGCCGACTTTGGACAAGCGGGAGAGGACATCACTTCGAAAGAGAATTTTCAACGGACCAGGGGCATCATAGTGGAAACCAATGGCGTTCAGCGATGTGATACCAGGCGCTGTAGTTGGAAGGTCATTGTGCAAAGTCAAAGTGATGCGCGCGGCGGCGTCGTGCAGGTATGGGTCGCTCTACACAACCAAATGACATGTAAAAAAGACAGAAGACCAACACGCAAACAACCATGGAGGCCATGGCAATGGCTTGTCGATACAGCGCGTTCAACGCATAACTATCGCGCCACCGAGAACGCAGTGTTGGGACCATGATGTGTTGGACCAGCTGGTCACTGAGCCAACTCGACGTGTCCGGCTACACAAGTCACAAGTTGAGAAGACATGTGGGATTCAAAACCTTGTCACACAAACCTGGTACTGCAGGACAAACAGGCGCAGGGTTTGCCAATGGTCGACCACTCGCCACACGAGCTTAACTTGAGTGGCCAGAACGTGTCCAATGACCATACACTACAAAGAGTTGGCCGTGTTCAACAATGGCCATTTGGCATGTCTTGTGTACTTTAGCTGTCAACGGTTCAATCAGATGGGTTTTCAAGTGCTCGTTAAACGATACCGGTGGCACCCCCACGTCTAGACAAAACATCAATATCATATATCTGCAATATCTGCATGATAGAAGCACTAGTGTCTATGAACATATATTGTCGATTTGATACAAAATTGGGGAGGGGGTACAATCGAATCGCGCCGACCAAACCGATCCACAATCGATCTGATTGGTTGAATTTCATTGAGAAATGGGTTTTGATTGGCTAATAATGTTGAGCTCATCTGAGGTAGCCAATCAAATCGATTTAAATTCCAACGAGAAACCACGCCACAACACGAAATGTCACTCGAAAGCACAACACCTGCTCTACACTTGCTAAATTAAGTGGATTTTTGGCGAAACTAGATAATGATATAACACAATATATGTCCATATTTGTACCTACCTGCATTGGAGTGCGGCAGCCAATCCAAACGACTAGGTGGTTGAGTACTCGTGGTAGTAGAAATCATGTCGTGACGTGGCAATCCCCTTGGAATGTCTACGCACGATAGTATTGGTCCGACAAATATCCATCCATTCCCAGCTTCTCATTTCGTCTAGCACACACTTACGTGCATGGTCATAGGATTGGCTCCACGGCGGCAATGTCGACGGGGGTGTTTGTGGCTTGGGATAATCGGATGCATGAGCAGAAGCAGGTAGCACAGTTGGGGTGGTTTCTGGCCGCGTCAAGATAGTATACGCATGGGCTTCCAACACAAGCGACGACATGTTGACCAAGAACGACGGCGGGGCAGTGGACGGTGGGACTTGAATCGATTGAAAGAGTGTTTGGATGAAGGCGCCACGCTTTGCAATGCTAACAGACTCAAAGCCCAGCTCGACGGCCGCGGGATGGCCTTGCAGGAACTCGTCCAGTCGCGCCAGATATGGCTTCATAGCATGGCGAAACCACGTTGCGAGCATCACAAAGTGCTTGGTGTCGTCGAGAACAGTGTACAGCTCCAGCAGACCACTCAACGACGACAGCACCGTCGCCGTGACGTGACGTGTCGTGGGTGATTGGATGTGTTCACATGGTTCAAGCATGTGCAGCACCACCTGCCGCAGCCACATGGCGTCGTCAACGAGCGGCTGCAATTCCACCCACAGACAGATCAGCGTCGGGCGTCGTCTTGTTTCAACCATGGTCAGCTGCATCAGAGTCGACACGGCGCGATCGGCATCCTGGACCAAGGCCCGCAGCGCATGCGACCACCCCTGCAACGTCGATGCTGGAATCGATCCGACGTGGGCAGCGGCGGCACGAATAAACGACAGTGACGTCGCCACGTCACTCCAACGGGCTAAACTTTGGTACAAGCAGGCTGGCGTGAGATGGGACACGGACGGCAACGACGGCGCCAGCGAGAAGGCGGCGAACGGCATGGACGACCAGAATGGACGCGCTTCCATGGACGTGGGGGTGGCTTGGAACGTCGTGGAGGTGCAGCCCAGCAGCGCCAGCAGCACATGGTCCACAAAGACATGCTCGGGAACTATTGTCTTGAGCAGAAATCGCAGCGGCGTCGTGTGCTGCTCGAGGGTGGCGGCGTAGCCTTGGTACAGCAGCCACGGCTTGGTCGACCGATAGGATTCCTTCTCCAAAGGTAGTTCTGGTTCTCGTGTCAAGGAGAAGACAGAAGAGGAAGCATCTCCTTTCGTGGCATCGTTGTCGACACCGTCGTCGGTGGTGGAGGAGGATGGCTCGTGGTCTGGATCATTTTTTGCGAAAGTACGTGGTGGCGGTGGAGGGTGCCGCCCCTCGAATTGCGCCGTCGAAACATTGTCATCGTCGTCGTCACTCGCCCACAGGGCGGTGTCGTCGTCGTCCCTGTCGTCGTTCCGAGATGCAAACCAAGGATCTTCCATTGTTAGTTCGTTCAGTTCATGGACCAACGCCCGCGTGGCCGCCCGAGTGCGCTGTTCGTCGTGAAATGCCATGGACGAACGCGACTCGCATGCGATGCGCACGAGGTCAATCTCATCCAACTCGGTCGGCGTGATGGACAATGGCGAGTTTGCGAGCTCCAGGAGCAAGCATGCGACGCGCGTTGGGATGCGCAACGACGGACGAGGCTGGGGACCGTCGCCAAAGAAGATAGTGGAAATCCTTGCAGCATGGCGGTTTCGATGGTGGAACTCCAGTGTCCGTACCACACCTTCGGCCGCGTTCTTCATGCGCTCAGTGCTTGGCTCCAAGTACACGTGCGCATGCAACTTGCGCACATAAAAGTCCACTTGCAGCTCGTCGACAGCATAAGCGGATGCTTGTGAGGATGAAGCGTCTATGGGTTCCTGCAGGAGATGCAGCAGCCGGCGAATGTCTGGTCGCCACGCAGCAGTCCATTGAGGAATCGACATCACCGCGCGCGTTCGACGTCGATCGTCGGTGCCAAGATGTGAAGGAAACCGGACTATCCGGATAAATCGACTTCAAAAACAGAACGATTTGACAGTGAATAAAGTACACCCTAAATCGGTGTACTAAAGCAGTGTTTTAGCTAGCTGTTCTACAGCCACGGGCCCCAGCCAGGGTAGATCTTGCACAGGTTGTGGGGATCTCTTGCGACCTGAATGAGATGCTTCACTTGGCCTTCCACGCTCATGGCTTCGCCGGTCGGGTCCTCGTACCCTTGGAGCTTTTGCTTGACACGGAGCAGGACGCGGGCCGCTAGGTCGGCCACGTTCTCGTCGTCGTCGTCGTCGGCGGCATCGACTAGCATTTGCACGTCGTTGTCGGCCTTGTCCTTCTGCACTTGTAGTGCTCGTCCAGGGGACAGGGTCCAATTGTACAATGGATCGTGGATGAACACTTCGACGATCGTGGCCAGCGCGTTGCCCTTCTTCCGCAGCACCTTGAGCGTTTCCTCACAGCATCGCGTAAACACCCCATCGACGCCGTTGCACCCCATCCCGTCCACCACGTCCCGCGTGAGCCGAAACGGCACCGTCTCAGGCGTAATCAGTGTCATGCCTACGTATGTTTATATAAATATCGTGGATTCAAGAAAAATCTGCAATATATGTACGAACCTTGGTCAAATACCACACCAAAGTCAATGTGCACGAGCTCGCCGGTCGCTTCGTCGATCAAAATGTTTTGCGAGTGCCGGTCCCCTATACCTAGGACATGTCCGACGATCGAGGTCACGGCTACACTTCGCGTGTACGCGGCACGGCGCGAATACCTACCCCATTGGATGCATGATATATATATATATATATATTGTCGACTGGACCAACCACGTGGCGGGGTCGGGGTACTTTTCCAAAAAGTAGTGGTGAAACACAGGTGTAAAGTGCTGCTGAATGTCCAGGTACGCCGCGTACTTGTCGGTGGCTTTCTGCAGATACGATCGACATTGCACATGCTTCCACTCGTGCGGGTGATATCGCA